GCGCGGGCACCCATCCTGCCCTGTGCGCCCGACCTGGTGCGGGGCCGCGACGTGGCACAGGTTCCTTCGGAGCGGGGGTGCTGGTGCCCTGAAATGCAGCTGCAGCGGCAGCCGCTGCTGGTCCTCTGGATCGTGGTCGGTCAGCAGGTTGCCCCGCAGATCGCGGCTGTTTGCCGTCTCCGGGGTGGGGATCATCTGGGCTATTCCTCTTCTTTCTTCTAGGTCTGAACTGATCAGAACCAAGCGATGGGCTTGATGAATCCGAAGATGGACGAATATCGGTGGTCGCCAATGGCTTCGGCTTAGGAGCTGCCTTCGCCGTGGCCCCTGCCGGTGCCCCTGGCCCATATATGGGACCTCGGTCAGGGTTCAAATCGCGACCATCTGGTGACCTGAGGGCCATGTTCTTAATCGTGGTATTTTGTTTACCTGTGAGATGGTGTGTAGTAGCGCTGCGTCTTCCGACTATGCGCGCCGACGCGTGCCCTTCAGGGGCCGCGTCCGCGGGATCAACTTCTTCAGCCATCTCATCATCTTCATCTTCACCAGCATATTGTTGATCGTCTTCTTCTGCTTTGTAAGCAGCGGGCTTCCCTGCGCGAGTAGGTATAGAATTATTACATGCGAGGCTTGTGCGGGCTATTTCATCAACAGTGGCGTGGTCGTAATCGCTCTCCGTCAACTACTCACCGCATGGCGCTGCACTCGGATCGGTACAGGACCCCGACCATCGCCATGAGACCAGACCCACGGTGTCTTTTTAAAGTTCGGGCTTCTCGGCGGGCGTCTCATGTCGCGCCCAAGCCCGCGGTCGGCACACTGAAAACACGAGCAACAACGCACCTCGATAGATCTTCCGTTCCTCGATGATGGCTCTCTTGGCGCTGCGCGTGGCCATCAAATCTCGCGATGGCACAGGCCCGGCCCTTTTCGAGCGAATGATCTCGCCGTCCTCGTCTCGTTTGATTTTGCGAAGAGAACGCCGGCGCCGGATCCAATGCTCATTCCAACCATGGCCCAGCCAGCATTGCATCTGATCTGGGGGCATGCATTGACGAGCCAATCCAGCTTCCGTGTAACCTCTAAGGCGCTGTATTCTACCTTCTGGAAATTCTTCTTCTCGCGGTTGATCATCCTGAGGCGGGCGCCCCCGCAGGCGCCCCCTCCTTGGGGGGGCGCCAGGTCTACTATCCCACCATGGCGGGGCCTTCGCGCTGACGACCGCTAGAGCGAGCGCCACTGGAGCGGTCGCGCGTGCGATCTGGTGCGCGACTGGGGGCCCGACCGCGACGTATCATGCGGTCGCTATCTTCCCGTTCTTCGCCCTCGTCGTCGTCGCGATACTTCTTCCCCCCGGCTGGGCGGCCTGCCGATCGCCCCTGGCGGCTCATGGACCGATCTGAGGCAACAGAAGTGTATTGCAATTCTGCAATATGACCAGGCTCCAATTGAATGCGCCCAGACAGATCACCGGCGCCTCGCGGGCTCCCCCGCAGAGGATCACCACCAATTAATTCCATGTCTGTCGGGTTTCCAATCGCCCGAGGATAGAGCATCGCCTGTGTTTCTTCGACTGTTGCAGGAATGGTAGATTCTGAGTCCGCGGGCGCCCCCGCCATGCCAAGATCGCCTTCAGCGAACATGTAGAAGTTCTCGACAAGCTCAATATCTGCAGGTTGCCCCGTGATGGGTATACCCAGCCATTCTGCCAAATCGACGTCGCCGGCGCAACTCTCGAGGGCCATGCTGGCGCCGAGATATCTGGCAGCCATGAAATTAACAATTGTGGCTGAGCTATCGGCGGGGCCAGCTAAAAGCGACCCCCAGTCAACATTCTGTATATCGGAGTCTGTTTGAGCCAGATGCATTGACGGACCCCTGCCTCTTCCGCCACCTTGAGGGCACTCGCGCTGGAAATGCTGCGCGCTGTGGCATATGTCGCACTCCATAGTTTTACCGTTGGCATCCTTTGGGTTCCCCCGTCGCCCTTCGCATTTGCCTGATGCACGTCTGCGGTTTCTGCGCGCACCTAAGAACATTTCCCCATGCTGAGGTCCAGGGAGATATGCTATGTATGCTAATGTGCCTCTACCATGCAATCGCCGACGCTTACCCTTATATGTACTTCGATATTTGCTTTTTTTCCCTTTAAGTGATCGTCCTGCGATGCGCCTTGCCTTTCGGGCTGGTTTGTTCGCGAATCTCCGCCAACGACGTTTGTTATTGAATGGCCTACATATAACCATTGCGCTTGTTGCTCTCCAGTAAGGTATGTAGGCACATCAGAGTAATCAAGGGCGGTAGCTTCGTCATCTGAAGGCGCATCTGCATCAGTACCGGAGTCGAAGTCGGACTCGGCGGGTTGCACCGCTGGGGCCATTCGGGCCATGGCTTGCACGGGGGAGACCGCGTCGGGCGGCCCCCGATGCCTGGCCCAGGAGTCTGGTGACCCCGAAGCCGTTCCACCATTCTGAGCCAAGAGCGTAGTGGTCTCAGTTGGTTGTGGATCATCATTTCAGACGTTGTTGGCAGGCTGCCCTGCGCTAGCCACCACCTGGATGGTCTCGGTTCGGTGACCGTGACTAAAGATGCCACCAATATTGCCGCGGGTTCTCTCAGCGATGTGAGCATATGACCTCATGCGTCCAAGTAGAGCGCCAAATGGTTGCTGGTCTCTCGGCAGACGGTGGTTTAGAGGCTGCAGGATTTGTTTTGCACGCGATGCCCCCGCCCCAAGGGCTCTGCACAGAATCGCTGTTGGGATTTGGAAGTTGGGGATGTTGAAGCCCGCTGTTTCAGCCTCGCAGCGGGCTATCTTAAACCGTGCTAACGTCTGGTCGATGCGTTCTCCCGCATGGACTCGGAAATCACTGAGGGCCTTACCAGAGTTGAGTTGGCGCTTCTCATTCTAAGTTCTCGAACTTCGTGCTCAAGAGGAACATAATGTAGGTGGCGCCGTCAGTGTGTCGGCCACCTATGTTGACGCCAAAATTAATAATTGCTGGAGGGACTTTCGTGGCTATGGTCCGCGCGAGACCTTCCAAAACCTCGCGGCAGAGCTGCAGCCTGCTGGGAGGGCGTCACGTCGCCTGTGGTCACATTGATCCAGGCATGTACTTCGCGGACAAATTCGCGAAAAGGTAATTGACCGGCTGTGTCCCAATGAGGGCCGGTCGTTCTCGCGTCGTCTCCGCCACGCAAATGTCCTACCGCGCGCCCGATAGCGACCCACACGAGCCCAAAGATAGTAGCACCAATCCAATGGCCTCGTAGGTCGTAGTCGGATGTAGTTGGTTTGGGATTCCGTTGAGTAGTCGTAAGTCTGCGCGGGGTCGGAGGCGGCAGTATTTCGTATCGCGTGTCTCCACGCATTATATATTCGAAGAAATTTCCCATTGGAGTAGGTGGGTGGACTCCAGGAGTGTAGAAGCGCAGGGAGGTAGGATGTATTCAAGAAACCTCCGCTTGAACAAAGGTAACGCTGCAAGTGTCCTCGCGGTACTGCGTAGCTATGTACACTCCGCCGCGCAAGCCCATTGCACCCTGATGTTCCACCATGTCCGTAGTCCACCAGATAGTGCCGTGGATGGTGAGGAGTAGAGCAAGAGCCGACCACCATAGGCCAGCTCCGCTACCAAGTTTGAAGCGGGCTGGGAGGCCCAGCCAGCAGCTTCGCCTTAGGCGAAGCCAAGCTCCAGCTTTGTTGTGCCGTAGTAACGTTAGTCCCCGTAGGAGAGGATGTGCCATCGTAATCAATAGGAAACCTTTTTGGTCTCGAAAGCGATTGTGTGCCTCGCAATGAGGCACAATCATATTTGGGCGGCCGGCCGCCTGAGCCGACGCGGCCGCGGGCGCACGTTCGTTTCCACCCCTTACGTCCCTCAGCTCGCTTTAGAGTCCGACGCCCAGCGGCCCCGAGGAGCTCCGACCCGACGCGCGGGGGCCCCGAGGGGATCCCGACGCCCAGTGGCCCCGAGGGGTAGAGGTCGAGGTGCACTACAGACCAGTCCACAAGAAACCTTCCACAACAAACCCAACCCTGAGACCCCAAGACGTCCATTGATCTTTGGTGTGGGAACGTCACGCCTTCCACAGCAAAATTGAAGGGGATTCCCAATATTTTCACATTTGTTCTGGTTTCGTCTTCCCCCCCACTTCCCATATGTTCCTATATTTTCCTGGGGGTCGACGATGAATTTTGTCAGTGTGTTTTCCCTTCCTGACAAACAATCGAAACCCAAGAAACCTTTGGCAACCTGAATGCAAGCAGGGTGTTTCTTGGCATGGGTCTCCGCTGTAGATGCCTTCAGCCATGCCATGCAAAGGGCGAAGAGGCACGGCGCCCCCTGAAGCCTGCGGGTGCGGCTGGGCCTTGGACCGAGGCGGCCGCGGCCACGGCAAGACACTGCGCGGAACGGCACGCGGGAAAGATCGGGCTGACGATCGGGGTCCCGTCGGGAACACAGTACGGCCTAAAACACAACTTCCCGAGCGAAGTCGGATCGGCCAGAATCGGCAGAAAACTGAGCCGACGCATCGAACCGGGAGCAACCGGATCGGGCGAGTGGTCGAAGTCGGAATCGCGAAGCGGCCTCTCCACGTCGAGCCCGTTCGAATCGGCAGCGGGAGAGATCGACCCGAACCGAACCGAATCGGGCCGGCGGAGTCGGAGTGGCCCTGGAAGGGGGCGGGCGGGCGGCGTGAGCACTCCGACAAGGCGTCCAGGGACTGCGCGCCCCCCGCCGTGCCCTCTCCCTTGGCTCTTACACCTACGCACGCATGTCGTGTCCCGACGACCTGCCACACCACCCCAGCCCGGCCCGAAGGCCCGAATCTCGAGTCTGGGTGGGCACGGGCTCCATGAGAGTTTCTGTTTTCCGTGCTCCCCGACGCTCCCCCCCCCACTGGGGGAGGAGGGCAAACTGGGGCCTTCGGGTTGGGTTGGGGGTGGTGCGGTGGGTGGTGATGTCCACACCTCTTTCTGTCTACGTGTCGCCCGCCTCGGAGCAGATCTTCTCAGCCAACGCCTCCATGATCTGCATCAGCCGAAGCACCTACGCTGCACAGGAGCGGAATTATAGACAGAAGCGCCGACGGCGGCCAGACTCGTGCTGAGCCGTCATGGCCGGCACAGTGATGTTGATGGCGACCTCAGCGCACATGTTTGGGGAAGCGCGGTCACAAACCCATGAGGTCTTCGAGCCGCTGCTTGCTGGTGCAGCACGGGGCCGTGAGATGCCGAGCGAGGTGGGTGCCAATCCACGGACGAACTTTTCACTGCAGCGTCAGAACTCCCCGCGGCCAAGCAGCAATCGACCCGCTGACACACAAGCGTGCAGAGGGCCGCTCCGCGTCATTGCTTGTCTCGTGCGATCCTAGCCAACACCTGCGATCCGACCCTGCACAAAGAGCATCACACCAGACGAGCACTGTTGACATTGGAATGGGCGCTCCCACACCACTCTCTATAGGGGGAGAACCCACCCGAGCTGCAAATCGAATGAACAGGCAAAACTCACAATCATGCAAAGCAATGTTTCCCAAACCCATCTGAAACGTAGATGCAGCTTGGGGGGCGCGGCTCGACCATGCAAATCCCAAGAAACCCAAATCGGCCACAAAACCTATCCGGAACGCATCCTAAAGAAGGAGGTCGATTAGTAGACGCATGACCATCCCTATGCTGACAAGCTCAAACCCTCCACACGGTGGACAGACTGTCTTCGAGCCTCCGTGCAATCAGACCCCCCGCGCGCCGATGCGGCACCTCTCGAGACGCTTCGGCACAGCCCCACGAGCATCCCAAGAAAGTCCTAAGACCCGTTCAGACGGCCCCAATATGATATCACCACACTGGGATGGGACATCACACGATTTGTTCCACACATTCCGAGTGGGGTTCTTGTTCTCCGAAAGCGCCCTCTCCTTCTCACTCGTCCTCCTCCTTCTCCGTATCCTGTTCCTTCTTTTTCTACCACTACCACTACTGCCACTGCTACCACTGGCACTACTGCCACTACTACAACTACTACCACAACCACTACTACCATCCAGGAGTGCCCCGCCAGAGCGGGCAGGGTATCTGCAAACCGTATTCGTTACAAGGCTTCGTGCCCCTCCCACCGCTCCAGGGAGGCCGCGCCCGATCGGGCAAGGCATTCGCATACCACGCAACGCTATTTACCCACTTTCGTGCCCCTCCCACCTCTCCAGGAAGGCCCCACCAGAAAGGGTCAGGTTCCCGTGCGCCATACTATTTCCCAAATTTCGTGCCCCTCCCACCCGTCCAAGGAAGCCCCGCCCGAGCGCACTCGCAGATGATAATAGTTGCCAAGTATCTTGCGGTGGGCGCCGCCGCAAAGGGCAAGGTTCTCCACAACCACATTATCTACTAGGTGTCGTGCGTCCCCCGCCCTCCAGAGAGGCCCCGCCACAGCGGACAAATTATTCGAAACTTACACCATTTACAAAAAGCCGTGCCCTTTCCCACCCCTCCAGACAGGCCCCGCTAGAGCGGGCAGGGCATTCGAAAACCAGATTCCCCAAACAGTGTTTCCATTCAGGGGGTTCAACTTCGGTTCCAACGAACTGGGCTGGTGGGGTCGCCGCCCCGTCGCCGGCCGTCGTCTGGGCCAGTGTGGCGGTATGGCGGTGACGGTGTCGCCGTCGCCGCCCAGTCGCCGCATCTTCGCGACCCTGCATAGTTACACCACGTAGATTGCACCACGTGGATTGCGCCACGTAGATTTCTTAAAAAAACAACAACAAGATCGACCTCCCCCCGGATCGTCCATCCGAAATATAAGCTCAAAATGTTCCACGCAAGCCGGCATCGCGTTCAAGCAACAAGCGTGACGAAGTGCGCACGCGCGCGCCGTCGCGCGCGCATGCCGGAACCCTTCGGAAACCATAGGTGTCGTAAGCATTTCGAAATCAAGTGTCCCGAAATCAATGGATTCGCAACAAAGGTGTTCACAAAAAACTGCGCCCGCGCTTTCGCGAAGATGTATTACTCTTGAAAAAATGTTTGAAGCTTGTTCATTTAATGCTACCAAACGGGCCTCTCGCGCGCGCATGTCGAATTCGTTCGAACGCCCCTGCGCGCGCGCTGTCCCAAACATCCTTTTGCAAAGAATGGGATGAATTGCGCGCGCGTCGTCGCGCGCATGCCAACATCTTGCAAACATCGTAGGTTATGTTGGGATTTCAAGAACGAGTGTCCCAGAAACATATCAAAGCGCATTGCTTTGCAACATCAGATCTCGCAAACCATAAAAAATGCGTTCGCAGATTTGCGATGTCCAAAAGAACCTGCAGGTGTTCTACATTTTCGTATATTTCGACCTATCGGGCCTCTCGCGCCGCATGTCGAACTCATTCGGACGCCCTTGCGCGCGCGCGCTGCGGAAAAGGACGCGATCCACGTCAGATAATACCACGCGAACCACTCGCGCGCGTCGGCCTCTCATCGCCGACGCGAGGACATCGTCATCGCTATCGGCAAGCGTGATCAACATCGGCGCCGTCATTTGCCTTGCCGTCGTTACCACCACCGCTACTCTAATAGTCGCGTCCACCGTTGACGTCGTCACCATGATGCCGCGCCCGCCCGCGTCCCCGACTCGCGCCGAAGCGCAAGTCAACGCAGCCGCGGCCGCGTCGGTCGCGCCAAACCAACTGGCCGCGGCGAGCGCGAGCACGCGCGGGCTAATGCGGCCGCAGAGATAAGCCAGCCAACGCCAAGCACTCATCGCAATCGCCGCCGCATGGGCTTTGCAAACCAAGTTGCGAGTGTGTGTGTGTGAGATGCTCTCGAAAGCATGGAAGGTGTCCACTCATTTGGGAGAACGCAGATCTCCCTTCTAAAAAAGAATAGACTCTACCCCCCGAACTTATCGGCACCCCTTTGCGCATGGCAATTTACAATTTATTCTGCACCGTCGCCCATCCGAAAAATGAATTCACGCCGGCCCAGGGGGGCCGGCACCGCCCCCCCGCCATCCTCTGCGCGCGCGCTCGTCTATCAAGAACCATCAGTTGTCAAGAACCCCCTGCAACGTGCGCGACGACGTGCACGCGCGTGCGTCTTCGCGCGCGCGTGCCGCAACCCTTCAAAAACCATCGATTTCGCAAAAATGTTACAATCGATTGTCGTATATATAACAGGGTTTCGCAGCGCGTCGTTTTTTGGAGCGGAACAATTGGCCTCGCGATCTCGCTAACTCTCACGCGCGCCAAAAAATGTTCCATGCATTTCAGGAATTGCTACCAGTCGGGCTTTGGGCGCGCGCGTCGAAATCGCCCGAGCGCCCGCGCGCGCGCCGTCGCGAGAATTCCCCGCGCAAGATTGGGCAAATTGCACGCGCGCGCGTCGTCGCGAACGCGCGCCGAAATCAAAAACCTTCAGTATCGTGGCCATTTCAAAACCGAGCGTCCACAACCACATACAACAACTGGTTTCGCTACGTCAATTTTCAGACAACCGGCGCCCGCGCTCTCGCAAACTCGTAAAACAACCGTAGGTATTTCAGTCTCATGGAAAAAAACCCAGCGGGCCTCTCGCGCCGCATGCCGAAATCATTCGCCGCGCGCGCTGGGGGGGCGCGATCCGCGCGCGAGAAAATCGCGGGGGCCGCTCTCGCGCGTCGGCCGCGCGCGCGTCGAACAGGCTCCAGACCTCCATCGCCGGTGCGCGGACGCCGTCATCGTCGCCGGCGCGATCAGCATCGGCGCCCGCACAGGCCGCGCCATCGTCGTTGTCAACGTCGTCGCCAGCATCGCCGCTATCATCATCGTGTCTACTTTTTCATCGTCGCCATGATACCTAGCCCGCTCAAAGCGCCGACTCGCACTGAAGTGCCAGCTGGGACGCGCCCAGTGGCCAGCGCCGCTGCGGCCGCGTCGGTCGCGCCAAACTAGCTGGCCGCTGCGCGCGAGTGCTTGGGCTGGCGCGGCCGCGGACATGGGCCGGCCATCGTCGAGCGCCCATCGCAATCGCCGCCGCGTGGGTTTCACAAATCAAGCTGCGGGTGGGCGGGCGGGGAAATTGCGCGGGCAAGGGGGGCGGTCAAGCGCGACGCAGCGCAATCGCGTGCACCTCGCGGAGTGCACCGCAGAGATTGCGCAGCATAGGTTGACCGCGTAGATCGCGACGCGTGGATTGCGCAACATACGTTCCCTTTTTAATGCCCCCGCCCCCAGGGAGCATCACCTTCCCTTTCCGAATTGCAAGTTGCATATGTGACTCCGTCCCATCGCCAATGCAAAATGCGAGCCCACGCCGCCCATGGGGGGCAAGCATAGGCCCCCCCGCCGCCCCCTGGAGGAAAAAATATGCGCGCGCACTCGCTGATCAAAAACATTGGCCCCAGCCGTCCCTTGCGCAAAAGTCAACGAAGTGCGCGCGCGCCGTCGCGCGCGCATGCCGGAATCCCCATTTCAAAACCTTCGGTCCCGGACGGGTTCCAGAATCGCGCATCGGAAACAAAAAACGCATGAACAAGCTTGCGAGCGCGCTCTCGCGCATGCTTGGGAAAACCGACTACTTTTTCCAATGGCTTTAGAATGCGCGCCAAAATCGCTCGAACGCCGTCGCGCGCGCGTTGTCGCGAGAGCTCCTCGCAACGAATGAGGCGAAGCGCGCGCGCGAGCCGTCGCGCGCGCATGCCGAAATCCCATCGAACACCTTCGGCGCCGCCGCGAATTCAAAACCGAGCACCCCCAAGAGCACGCGCGCAACACATGTGCTTCGCAACGCCAGCTTTTAAAACAGCCTGCGCTCGCGCTCTTGCGAATTCTACAGAAAAGAAGCCATGGGTCTTGCGGCAATGTCATGGGCGACTGCCGGGCGGGCCTCTCGCGCCGCGCGCCGAATTCATTCGCGCGACCCTGCGCGCTGGGTGGGGGGGGGGCGCGGCCTGTGTCAAATGATGCCATGCGCGGCGCTTTCGCGAGTCAGCTGCGCGCGCGAGTCCAAGTCTCTCCAAAACCTCCATCGCCGATGCGAGGGCGCCGTCATCGTCGCCAGCTCGATCAGCATCGGCGCCGTCACTGG